AATTGTTAGTATATTGCTTCGTTCGCTATAAATATAGCTGAATTCTACTATAACAAACTATGGTACTAAATACTCTACTAATTTCACTCAAAATACTCATTCGATACCTTTTTTTTCTTACTTGATCCGTTATTCAATAATTAATAGTAACCTTTTTTCTTCTCTCTCTCTATTTCTTTTTTTTTTCTCTTTTTTAATCTTCCTTATTCGATACTTTATTTCGTTTTCTTTTCTTATTTTATTTCTTCTTTTTTTTCTTTCACTTGCTCTCTTTTTCTTCTATTTACAAATTTATTTCTGTTAAAATGCAAGTCTCGAATACATAGAATACGACAAGTTATATATATACAAATCTCCAAAAACTCAATACCAAAATTTCTGCAATGCCTTTGCATATAACCATATGATCAGCGCCGAAGATTCTAAATATTCAAAAGATTTAGTATGCAAAAAAGCCTGTAATGCGTGAAATAAAATTAAAAGAAAGCCCAAACACGAAATTGAAAATACTATAGAATATCTTATTACAAATGCTGCATCTACTACCCAATATTTAAATCTTGTCCAATATTTCAATACTGCTAATTCAATCCAAAATAGAATTATTGAGAAAATCATTGTTCCTAGTGCACCACCACCAAATGCTGTGGCACAAAAGAAAGCAAATAAAATCATTAATAAAACGAATGAAGAAATTGCAAAATATCAAGAGGATTATAATTTGACAACTGATTCTGAGGCCAAATATGAGCTAATAGATCGCATACAAGACCTTAAATAAGTCCTCTGTGCCCAAGAAATGAAAATCCAAAGCCTGAAAAAAAATGCTGATTACCAACGCAAATGTAGAGAAAGAAAAGACCAGGATTTAAAAGAGCATCAGCAGGTTGTAAAGTATGACTCGCCTAGGCATCCTCCTTTCTTGCACAAATACCTGAATTTACTAGAGCATCTTTACGAGAGCATAGAGTTCGGGGTTGCTGATAGCCAAAAAAGAAAAGAAGTTATTAATATCTGAACAATAAATCACTTAAAAGAAGAACTAGAGTCAAAATACAATGAACATCTCTCCCGAACTACTATAAACAATCACCTACTACCACGTTGTTCAAACTCAATAGAAGCAAAAAATCATCACCATCCGACTAATATTCAGGTCAGTAATGTATATTTTTAATATTCATTATTCTTTTCTGTATTGTATGCCCATGTCAGAGACGATGATTTTCTTCAGTAATAACTTCCATAGTAATTCTACATTCAGAAAACCTCTGCGCATACTAAATTCTGCATTATTTATATTGATCCCCTTATCGAGAGGATCAGTATACATAACACAGAATTTAGTATGCACAAAGATTTTCCGAATGTAGAATTACTATGGAAGTTATTATTAAAGAAAATCATCATCTCTGGCCCATGCCTATACATATAGTTTAATAATTATATAAATTAAATGATTATAAAATTTAAAATTATAACTTTTTAGTAACATATTCATACTTTGTTTATTTCTACCTGTTAAAAATGCTAGTTCAGGTCGCAACTGTCTCAAGAAATGAAAGAGCAGATCATCAGGATGTTCATTATTGTTTTGCCTCTGTAAAGGCAGCAAGAGAATTTGCAG